TGTAAGCTTGGCTGTGAAGTTGGCATAGTGGATAACGGTTTGGAATTGTTAATTACAGAGCAATGTTCTAATTCCAGTTTTGTTCATTATATTCACTTACATACAATTACACTTGCAAAAAGTATGAATCCATCTCTTCTCCTCCCAGCTATGGGTTAATTAGTAAGACTTGTATCACTAAAACCATTATTATCTCCAAACAAAAAATAAAATGGTGTACAAAATATTTATATTTCAGCATTATATAATCTATGGAGGTTGATATGCCACTGAACAAAAACCATCAATCAATCAATCCTGCAAATTGATCTCTGCTCCGAATTTTTTTTTTTTTTTTAGTCACTGTGCACATTTTTAATTGATTGATTCATTCATTCATTTTCTATGGATTATCAACCCTTTGCTAGTTATTTAAACCCAGAAAATTGTATGATTTTTTTTTTTTTTTTAAATAATTGTTTAATAATACAAGTTTTACTAATTAATCCATAGCGGGGGGAGAAGAGGTGGATTCATGCCTTTCCCAAGAGTATTTGCACATAAGTAAATATAATGAACCAAAGTGGAATTAAAACTTGGCTCTAAGGCATCAAACAGCCATAGAACAGTAGTTCAAACTGGTTTGGGAGTGCAGCCTATAACAAGGTAGCCTTTTTCCACTTTAACTCCAACAAAAACACATTCATTTTGGGTGGTACAATTTTGTCACAATTCTGCTGGAACTTCTGACAGTCAGTACAAATTGCTAGAAGGGTCACTAACTTCAGAAGAATCAAGCCACTCAACGTTAAATAACAACCAACCAGAGTTCGGGTTATAATTTATGAAAGTGCGGGGGGAAAACCCCTTCTAAATCTCTGATTCATCATTGCTTTTATTTATTACATTCTTATTGACCTTTAAGTTTGAAAGCAGCCAGGATGTTGTAAGAAGAAGGCTTTGCTTTTGACCTTATGCAGGTACTGTGAAGTTTGACAGTTTTTGAACTCTAACTCGTAGTGACCTTTCAATATGGAAACCGATTACTGAAGCAAAAAATAAATAAATAAACATAGGTGTCTTCAATTTTGACAGACTTGTAGTGGTTTTGACGGAATAAATCAACCCACACATTTTTTTACTTTACGAATGTGCAAGAAAATAAAAAGCAAACAAGAGAAGAAATACAAGAAAATAACTTTTCTTAATCAGGAACAATATTTATATTTATAAATGACAACAGTTTTACAATAACAATAATAAGAGTTACTTCCCTTTGACTGGGCTAATGTTTTTACTAATAAAATCCATTTTTTTATCCGAGCTCACAAAAACTGAATTAACTTGTAGTTCAAAATGTTCACTGAAAGAGAATCTTATAAAGCTGAAAATATGTTAATAAACTTTTAGCTTTAAAGAAGTTGGAGAAGTGAATGTTCCGTTTGTTTTCGTTGCTTGTAGTTTTAAATGTATTGTTTGTAATTGTTTGTACTTAAAGTTTCGTCTGATTCAATATAACGTAATTGAATAAGTTGGTGAGTGAGATGTTTCGTTGAAATTGTAGTTTGATTTTCAGTGAAGTTATTTCATGTTATAAAGAACTTTAGGTTCCAACTTTGTACTTCGCTGCAGTAATGATTAAAGCGTCGTGAAGTCGTTTAGCAAATTTGGTCGTCGTAAATTCTCATTATTTATTGTACCATGTACAAATGTGGCACAAGGCCGAAAAGGGGGCTGGGGAAAAGGACGGTCATCACTTGTCTTAAAATAAAACTTAGCTAGCCACAATCACTGAATTCTCACTCACTGGGTTCGCTCGTACCTTCTATTTATATGTTTTTTAACCACGTGACAGGCTCCGAAGGCATTGTTTTTTCGTCAGGTCAAAAACTAGGTTGACGTTGTTCGGACGTAGTGGTGAGCAGGTAAATTGTTTTTTTAACATCTGTTAAACCACTCAGAAAGCGCCGCCTTACAAAACTCAGTCTAGAGCCTGATATGTTTTGTGTCGCTTATTGAGACACGTAAAGATAAATTTAATATTTATTATCCAATGAGGAGTTTAGGTTTTCAGAAACATTTATGAAGATGTGATCCGCTCTTTGCACGAAAATCGACATTTGTGAAAAAGTGATAGCGGACAGCTAAAGACTCGAACTTATGAAACCCCAATGACCTTTTATTTAAATTCTAAGTACTTAAATGCTTTGTTTTCAACAAAATTCTATTCTTGATAGAATTTTGCTAGAAAAGATTTTCTTCTTAATCTGTTATGATGTTAATTTGGGGTTAATAAAGACAAACGCCAAATAACATGTAACAATAAAATGGGGTTTATTCGGTTGGTAAGTTGGTACAGATATCGCCTGAGTAGTCTATAACTAACTCAGCCCAGAACTTCTTCTACACTGTCTTTTTACGTGCCACTATTTTACGTCCTTGTTTGTAGACGAGTTCATCTTCAAGAGGAGTGGTAGGTACCCACACAACATAATCATTAATGTAATTAACAATCTCGTGTCACATTTGGGCTTTTACGCTTCTTGTGAAAGTAAGAAAAATCTAATTTTTAAATTAATATTATTTTATGACAAGACATTTTTTCGTCGGCAGATGGAACCAAATACAGATGGAACCAAATTTTACACAACACCGTGGAGCGAATTTTGTTGTTGTTGAGGTTTGTCATCATTTTTATCAATTCGTTAATATTTGCATTTCACTTTTTTTTTTTTATAGAACTGCTTTCTTTGTCCAATTCTTATCAAGATCTAACTTCATTGTTTTACAATTAGGAATTGAACGAACAATATTATGTGACGTTGGAGAAATCTTTTTATTTTTTTTTTTAAATATGTTGACTAAAAATTCGTACTACTTGAAAATAAGAAGAAACAAAAATCGTCTGTTTTCTCATTTTTTTTCCCGTTATTCTTAATTTTTTTTTTAATTATCAGATGTCAAAGGTAAGTTGTAAATTTAAGTAAAATTTACTTTCCACCTGTTTTAAATATTCACAGTCGATTTCACACGAATTAGTTTTAAAACATAAGATTGGCGGCTTTTATAAATTTTATAATACAATTTTAATTTAAATTTAAATAATTATTGAATGTATTCAAATTTACGGCGTAAGTTAGGAGGTTGAGTAAAGATTTTAAAAAAAGTAATTACTTTCTATAAAATTGCCTTGATATCACGATTATTTTTATTTGTAATAAATTTTTATTATTTGTTTACATTCTTCATTACAATTTGTCAATCAAGTAAAAAAATAAAACGGTAGATACCATAACACTGACTTACTAAAAAAAAAACTTCTTCAAAGTTAAATTTTTGTTTAATTTAAAAAAAAAAACGCTAAAAGATTTAACCCAACTAAAGCTAATCTGTATAAAAAGGAAAATTAATTTTAAGAAAAGATTTTAGATATTTTTTAAGATTATTTTTATAATTTTTGGTAAGTGCCATTCATCGAACCTCCAGTCCATTATGAGGAAACACTACTGACTACTAACAGCAAATTTAAAATCTCTTTAAATTTTAAAATATTATTATTATTATTCTAGATTTACTTTCTAGATCCACCTAAATCCGCGAATTTTGTATTAAAAATAAGATCGACGTCTTTATTTCTTCATTATTTAATAATTATGAAATTGTGTCAAATTTACGACAATGAATGACCATTTTTTTTATAACCGCCGTATTAATTTTTTTTTTTTTTTTTTTTTGGTGTTTTAGTTTTTAACTCCTTGTTGGAATGAAAAATAAATTTACTGTACAAGTGATAAAAAAAACAAATATCCTAGATCACAATAATGGAAAAATAAAACTCATTAAAAAAAAAAGAACTACTGCGCTAATTTATTTTTTAAAATTCTGCTATTTAAAGATTTTGATTTTGTTTCTCATTAATTTTTCTACAAAAACAAATAAAGTAGTCATTTCAAATCAGATTTGAAAGTTGTTTTAAAATTACTATTCACATTTTCATCAGTAAAATAAAAAAATTGTATCTTCCTTTTTTTTCATTGAAAGTTAAATTTAGTTTCATATACAAATTTTTAAATTTAAAAATAAAATGTAACTTCAAAATTTATTTATCTCTTGTTGAAGTCGATAATTTTTTTGCGGACTAACTTTATTGAAACAAAAATAAAATTATTTGTATTTAAACACTTACACTATTATCTTTAATTTTACAAAAAAAAAAAAACATTGTTCGGACTGTTGTCCTCGTTTCTTCAGGTGATATTTATTGGAATTTCGGAATTCTAACAAATTAATTATCACCTGACGAAGGCCGGAGCATACAACGGCCGTTTTTTGTTTTCTTTTTTAAGTTATTGAAATGAAAAATACCACTATTTACAATTTTACATCAACTTAAATGTCATAGTTTTTTCTTTTGTATTTAATTTATGTTTTCTTTTTTTGTATATGTAATTTTTTAATCGGTGAGATGTTTCAGTTTTAGTTTTACGCTGTTAAAGTTTTTCAAAAAATATGCAAGCCAAATAAAGTTAAAAACAAATCGACTGGCAATTATTATGCAAGTGCCTGGTAACATTAACAATGTTAAAAAAAAACAAACTAAAAAGGAATAAAATATAAGATGTGTACAGATCGATAAAGTTGCGAAATGTATGACTTTTTTTTTAATTGTAGGCTGGATAACTTATTAGTTTTTAGCGGGATGGGGGGGGGAGATTTCAGTTTCATCGAGATAAAAATGTTGTTTTAAAAACCGTTGATGCGACTATACATACACACAAAGAAATGAAAGGCACCGAAAATTTTAAATTAAATTTTTTTCTATAAATATGTTTTGGGTATTTTTTTAGGTTTTAGTTTTAGGTACAAAAATTATTTTAAAAAAATAAATAAAAACTTAAATTTAAAAGGCACTACACTTTGTTCAATTCATAAAATGTATTTCATGATTCACATTTTTCGTGTCAAGTGATTTGTTCTTCATCCAGTCAATCACTATCCACTACACAACCTCCATTTTGAGG